TCAATTAAAAAACATTTTTGTATTGAAATATTTTAATAATTTAAACTAAATTAATAATATGCAAATTGCACAGTGAGAAAAATAAAAGACATCATTACTGACGAGACGTGCCTCAAGCTAGTTGTCATAAGAATGCTGTATCGTTATGATTCGTATATCTACCTTAAGAAAAAATTTATACTCCCGTCTATATTTAGCATACTAATGGGACCGTTCAGTTCATTGATTTTAGTTTTTAATTTGAGTTAAGATGTAATTTTATATGAGAGTTTTTTATTGTATTAAAAAAGTTAGATGTGATTATTTCTGAGAGTTTTTTACTGTAGCAAAACTCGAATCGGCGAAATTAATGAATTTAAAATTATGATTCATAATTATTTTTAATTTACGTGTGTTTTTTATGAGAAAAAATATTATAATAAATCACGAACCATAATTCGAACCATAACACGAATTCTCATACTAAACAACACCTTAAATTTAGCCCAATTAATCTCTTATAGTTATTCCTTCACCAAAAAAAAAAAAAACTCTTCTAGTTTTATGTTCAAACTTTTTCCACAAACAATTTTATTATATATGCCAGCAAACTACTTTGGTGCCAATGGTTTTGGTAAAAATTTAAGGCGTGATAATGGTTTCCAACCATCTCAAACGAGTTTACAAATTTAGAATTATTTTTAATTTATGTGTATTTTTTATAATAAAAAAATATTATAATAAGTCACGTGATTTAAATTATGATACGTAAAGAACCCTGACTTGCCCAACAATTCACCCAAAAACCCAAAAGAAATTTGGGCTTGTCCGTTTTCTTTGTGTTGTGGTATTGAAGCGTTGAAGGAAACGTACTTTGAAGAAGTTTTGGTTGAAAACTAATTGAAGAACGCTGGCCTTTATGATTGAGGAGGATGCAAATTTGCGAAAAGGAAAAGAAGATAAATAATTTTTTGAGTATTAATTTTTACTCTTTACTTTTTATTAATGATGAAAATGTGATCTTGATGAGATTGTTATGGTTTTAATTTATAAATAACGCTGACATAAATGTTGATGTCGATAGATATTTTGAAAAAAAAATGAATATCTCAATAAAAACTTAAAATCTTTTGTTAAAACTCTACAAATTGATAAAACAATTAATATTATTTAATTTGAATTAATTTAATAACAAAAATAATACTTTTTCCTATGAGAATATAAGAGTTATATTGCATAGTATAATAGTAAATTGTTATGATTATATACGGATCATGATTTTAATATACTTTTACATACAATAATATAATTTTGTACGTAAAGATTAATTAGCAAACATATTATAGTACATATAAACTTTGATTTTTTTTTTAAATATCAAAATGAGTTTTTAACAAGTTAGAAAGCATTAGATAGGTTATGATCTTAATATAAATAACACATTTACCAATACATTACTATTGAATTGTTCTGGAGGTAGTTGTTAATGTACCAGATGTATATTTCTTGATCTCTTCTAATTATTAACCTGTAAATTGCGTATTGTTGGTTTATTCAATTGAATAAGTAGTATTCATAAATGTGTAATGACATTTCAACACTAACTCGTGGTGTAAGATGCACTAATATAGGAAAGAAATCATCTTGATTTTATACTTATAAATTAGATCTCATTTGAGGATTATAATATGGATGACTATAACCATGTTAATTTTATTATGTTCTTAGAAATCAAAACTTAAGGCCTCATAATCCTTGTTAGTATGACCCATTTAAGTCACACCATGTCTTTTTATATGTTGTTTTTCAACATTCAGTTCTCACATTTTATTGATAAATAACGGGGAAAAATGAGCTAGAAAATTGATATTTTTACGGAAAGTAAAATTTTTCTAGTGTTTTTAGACGTTTTGTAGACATTTTTAAAAATATTTTGGATATTCATATATATTTACCGATATTGCGGATATTTTCAAACATTATGGGCATTTTATTGATACTTCGGGAATAATATTTTTCCTCTAATTTATCTATGTCGAGATTTCAAAATATGGACAATATCATGGACATTCATCTGTGCTCTTTATTGTAGGGCAATTTATAAAAATGTCATCAATAAAGTCACATTTTTTATTTCTGCCACTGTTGTTAACATTATCTTATGCCACTAATAACTCCAGATTATCTTCTCATAACCTATAAGTCATCTTTCATAACTTGCACAATATCTTTTATAAGTAACCTCCAGATTATCACTTCGTATCCTTCAAGTTATTTTTCATAGTGGTATTAAAATTTTGTCCAATGATATAAATATGGAGAGAAAAAATAATGATTAAACTTGAAATTTTCTCTTATTAATATTCTTTTTAGTTAAATGTCTATATTATTAAAAAAATATTAATTAAGAGTTAGAGATAAAAATTCAGATTTATACACTTTGAAAATAAGTTAAACAATTGAGTGAGTTTCTTATCTTATTTATGATGTAGGTAAAATGAAAAAAAAAAAAAAAATGGTTTGATTTGAAGTCGATTTTAGTTTTTACAGTCGAAATTGACCATTCATTGAGAAAAAGTTAGAATTGAGAATAAATATGAAATTTGCAAGCATAACTTTGATACAGTTAAGTTGTGATTTTTTATATCTTTAAAATGGGTGTATATATATATATATATTTAATATAAACATATCTATGTTCTAGTATTCGTAATGTCATTTTAATTTAAGCAAGTATGTACTCTTTTTGCTTCAAACACTACATTAATACGCTCAAATTTAGATCAACAAAATTTCTATCAGTAAGATACGACCAAATTCTATAATCTAGAATAAAATAAATAATAATGTTATTTTATTCTCTTGTGATGGAATATGAAAAATACTATACCAGTCAAATATAATTCTTAATCAACCAGTAAGCGTAGTACTTCAGTTAGCTGTAAGTCTTTTCACCTTAATTATAAATTAAAAGTTTGAGTCATTTTGAGTAATTATATCGGATTAAAAAGTGTAACATTTAACAATAAGGGTTAATCTCACAAATTAGTTAAGTATTAAATATTTAACATAATCTACGAAAATTAAAGACTAAAATTAGAAACATATAAAATTTATGGACTAAAATAATACAAAAAATAAAAAGTTAATTTCTACAGACAATCTCTAAATTTTAATTGTTTTCAATTTTAATCCCTAATTTACATAGATTTCGTCAAATATTTAACACTCGATTAGCGGAATGACTGAAATTGAAATACAGTAAAATTTTAGGGACCAACTATGGAACATTTTAAAATTCATAGACTAAAGTGGAGTTGAGGAGGAAACTTCATGATCATTTGTGAACTAGTCCTAATAATAGCATTCCATTGACCTAAATAAGTACATGTTGGAGTGAGAGTTTTTTAGGAGAGAAAAATACACGGTGTGTCATAATTTTATGCAGGTTCATTATTTATGTCATTTTAAATAAGAGCGTAATTATCTAAATAAGTACATGTTGGAGTGAGAGTTTTTTAGGAGAGAAAAATACACCGTGTGTCATAATTTTATGCAGGTTCATTATTTATGTCATTTTAAATAAGAGCGTAATTACAATATTTTTTTATTTTTATTAATTAAATGATAATTATTTATTTTTTAATGGAGTGACATATGAGTAGTATTTATGGTGTTTTTCTTTGGCTTTTGTTCAGCACAAAGAAAAAAAAAGTGTTCATTTTATTGATTCGAAAAGCACAATTTAAATTTTTATTATAGTGTTTTATCTCATAAATATTTAAATTTAAATTTTCTATTATAACGTTTATTTTAATGTATATTATTTTGTAACTTTAAGTTCTCGACCTAACTAGCAAAACGAATGACCCCATTTGTGAGAGACAACCACTCCCGCGCTAACGGAACGAACCCATCACGCTCTTTTCCCTCTTTCTGTCCTTCCAACGACACTGTCCTTTTAACAAAATAATATCTACCACTACCGGCTCACCACTGTGCAAAAAAGAAAAACCAAAACAGGGGGAAAAAAGAAAAATACATAGCCAAAGCGGGAAAATAGAAAGAAAAAGAAAACTAGAAAAAAGCCTCTCGCTCTCTCCAAAACTTAGCCGGGAAGCAAACCAAAGTGGACAATGCAATAAGAGACTTGTTTCGTTCTTTGAAGTATCTCGCCTGCTCACTCTCTGAATTTCTGTCAAAATCTATCTCTCTTTTGGTTTCGGGTTTCTAGCTTGGGGAACTCTTAAAGATCAGTAGGGTTCGCAGTTTCCGATCTACCCAATCTGGTTAGTTTGCGATCAAATTCTGAAATGACTGAGAATTTGCATGTGCATTTTGATATGGTTTTTGTTTTGAAAGATTTTCTTTTTTCATTGTTAATTGGAGATTTGGGAAATGAGTGAGTGATTTCGAGTTTGGAATCGCTGGGTTTGTGTTTAATGGATGTTGTACTGTGAGTTTGACTGGTTGGTTGACGAGAAACTGTGGGAAAAGATACGAAAAGTAGAAATTTGCTCATCTCTGGTTGATCAATTTGTAGCTGTAAATTTAAAGAGGGAAATTCTAAATATTTTGCTCCTGATCAATTGTTTTTTTTTTTTTTTTTTTTTAGTGAAGAAAGTCCAAAGAACATGAAGTATTTCATTTGTGGTTTAGCTTTTCTAAAATTGAAAGATGAAACCGAACTTAAATTTTGTCCTAGGCTTGATGCGATTTTGTTTCTTGTCTCAGGTTTTCAGAAAGTTTGCATTTTTTTTAGAGAAACATGAACTTAGTAACGTGCTCATATTGAATAGGCATTGAAGTAAGAGAAAAGAGAAGAAAAATGAAAGTTGTGTTTTTGTAATTAGGGAAGAGTCGGAGTCCAAACCCTAGTACTATTGGGGTTCTGTTGGTGAGATCTTCGCTTCGTTCGTCTGGGTGTTTTCCCTCTGTGTTATCCTATGTTTTTATTTCTACCTCATTTGCCCAATATAAAACAAACAATTTTTATTTTCCGTTTGTTCTGATTTAGAAAAGAGTGATTTTTGTGGAGGGATTGATTAATTTTGGGGTTGATATCGATGTTGTTCTTTTATATTTTATGTTCTCATTTGAATGCCACTTGGCTATCCATATGAGGTTGATACGGTGATTTTACCCTTTTTTCTTTTTTTTAATTCAGAGCACCTTTGGGGTTCGGAACTGGGCGAGTATTTGGGGCCAAGGATGGAACTGGAAGGAAGTGAAAAAGATACGGTGGTAACTCAAATCAGTATTGGAGGGTTTGATCGTCATGTCAAAGCAAAAGACCTTATGGACTTCTTGGAATATGAAGTTGGGATTGTTTACAGGTGTAGGTTGAAAACTTCCTGCACAGCTCGAGAGTCCTATCCAACTTTTGAGAACATTAATAGTGAAAATATTATGGAATCGATTGATATAAGGCAAGTGGAGCCCCATGCTTTTGTACATTTTGCCTCCCCTGAATCAGTAAATTGGACTCTGTCTAATCCGCTTATGCTGAACAATCAAACACTAAAGGTAACTCTGGGGCCTGAGACTTTGTACCGAATGAACCAGAGGAGGAGGACTACTACACCAATAAAATTAGCTGATGTGATTGTTGAGATTGGAAACTTAGTAAGGCGAGATGAGTTCTTCGTTGCTTGGAGAGGACCTTCCTACGGGGTTGATTTTCTTGTGGATCCTTTTGATGGGTTATGCAAATTTTGTTTCACCAGAGATACTGCTTTCTCATTCAAAGATATGGCTAAGCTTGCAATGATGAAGTGTGATTTCAAGGTGGAGTTCTTGGTTAGAGACATTAATGAGATTAAACAGTACACAGATACGTCGCATTTAGTAGTTCTTTTGCTGCTGGCTTCATCACCCCGTGTTTGGTATAGAACTGCTGATGATGATATTGAAGTATCCGTGCCATTTGATTTGTTGGATGATGATGATCCCTGGATCCGAACGACAGATTTTACTCCTAGTGGGGCCATTGGGCGTTGCAATTCTTATAGAGTTTCAATCCCACCTCGTCATGGTTCAAAGTTGAAGAAGGCCATGAGTTATCTTCGAGAACGAAGGGTTCAAGAGACCCCCCTAAGAAAAGCACTTAGGATACAGAGTGAACCTGATTTTGCGGTGCCCATGTCAGATCCTATCTTCTATGTTCACGGCAAGCATGGTATCCCTTTTGAGATAATGTTCTTATTGAATGTTATAGTGCACAAGGGTATATTTAATCAGCACAACATTTCAGATGGCTTATTTGATTTATTCAGAAACCAACCAAGAGAAATCAATTTGGCTGCACTGAAACACATATCTTCTTACAAACGTCCAGTTTTTGATGCTTATGCAAAGCTAAAAAATGTTCAAGAATGGTTATTGAGAAATCCTAAACTTTTGAAGATCCCTAGGCAATTGGATGACATAGCTGAAGTTAGGAGGTTGGTCATCACGCCAACTAGAGCCTATTGTCTTCCTCCAGAAGTTGAACTGTCCAATAGAGTCCTTAGAAAATATAAAGAAGTGTCGGATCGATTCTTAAGGGTTACTTTCATGGATGAAGGCATGCAAACCATGAATTTGAATGTCCTTACCTATTATCCCGCTCCTATTGTCAAGGAACTCACATCAAACTCCACATCTCAAAAAACAAAAGTATTTAAGAGGGTGAAGAGCCTTTTGACTGATGGGTTTTACTTGTGTGGTCAAAGGTACTCCTTTTTGGCTTTCTCTTCCAATCAATTAAGGGATCGTTCTGCCTGGTTTTTTGCCGAAGACGGTAAAATAACAGTCAATGGCATCAAAAAATGGATGGGGAGGTTTAATAACAGAAACATTGCAAAGTGTGCTGCTAGGATGGGTCAGTGTTTTTCTTCTACGTATGCCACAGTTGAAGTTCCACTAACAGAGGTTAATTTTGACCTTGAAGAGATTGAGAGGAATACTTATGTTTTCTCTGATGGAATTGGGATGATTACTCCTGATCTTGCTAAAGAAGTGGCGGAAAAATTAAAACTTGACATAAATCCACCGTCAGCATATCAGATTAGATATGCTGGCTGCAAAGGTGTTGTTGCTTGTTGGCCACCAAAGGGTGATGGGATTCGGCTTTCTTTGAGGCGCAGCATGAACAAGTTTGATTCTAAACACACCATACTGGAAATCTGCTCTTGGACTAGGTTTCAGCCTGGTTTTCTGAACAGGCAGATTGTCACTTTGCTGTCAACATTGAATGTTCGGGATGAAATATTCTGGAAAATGCAAGAGACTATGCTTTTCAAGTTAAACCAGATGCTTACTGATGCGGATGTGGCTTTTAACGTTCTCACCGCTTCATGTCCTGAGCAAGGAAATGTGGGAGCAATAATGTTGAGTGCAGGTTTCAAGCCCCAGTCAGAACCTCATTTGCAAGGCATGCTAACCTGCATAAGAGCTGCACAGCTTTGGGGGCTTCGGGAAAAGGCTAGGATTTTTGTTCCTTTGGGGAGATGGCTTATGGGCTGTCTAGATGAGCTTGGGGTGCTTGAACAAGGTCAATGCTTTATCCAAGTCTCCACACCATCACTTGAAAACTGTTTCTCAAAACACGGTTCTAGGTTCAGCGAGACAAAGAATAATCTTGAAGTGATCAAGGGTTTTGTTGTGATAGCAAAGAACCCTTGTCTTCACCCAGGAGACATAAGGATTCTTGAAGCAGTTGATGTCCCTGGTTTGCACCATTTGTATGACTGTCTTGTTTTTCCTCAAAAGGGTGATAGGCCCCATGCAAACGAAGCTTCTGGAAGTGACCTTGATGGAGATCTCTACTTTGTCACTTGGGATGAAAATCTTATTCCCCCAAGTAAGAAGAGCTGGAATCCTATGCAATATGATCCAGCTAAACCCAGAACTTTGCCCCGTGATGTCACTCAGAAGGTAGTTATCTACTACTCTTTTATGTTATAACTGAAATTTTGGCATTAAACATCTAGTTTGTTGATTGTGATAGATATCAGCTTATTCCATCTTCGCTTTCTGTAGTGGTCCTAGTGGATCATGTCTGTATGTTTCTAAAATGGTCATCATTTTCATAATACTGATATGCTTCAGCAACCAAAACTTTTGGTAAGTTAGTCTTGGAGTCCAACGTACTTTTCAATGAATCAGCCCTGTAAAGTTGACAGTGACAGTGTTACTGCATGTGAATGCTTATAATCTTTGAGAACATGATATGCATCCTGCCTGCCCTTAACAATACAGAATCTCTTTGCTACCAACTTCATTAGAAGAGGTTTCCGATGGTGCTGCTACTATTAGTTGATGGCTTTACCAAGAATATAATGAATTCCACCATAAAGCTTCCCTGCCATAATTTCTTTGGTTAATAAGTTTCTCAAGTTAAGATTTGTTTTATTGTTTACTATACTCGGAATTTCAAATTTGACAGAGAAACCTTTATGTTGATTGTATTTATTCTACAGGACATAATAGATTTCTTCTCAAGAAACATGGTAAATGAGAGCCTTGGGGCAATTTGCAATGCTCATGTGGTTCATGCTGACCTTAGCGACTATGGGGCGCTGGATGAAAAGTGCCTTAGCCTAGCAGAGTTGGCAGCCATAGCAGTTGATTTTCCGAAAACTGGGATTATTGTTACAATGCCTGCACATCTGAAGCCCAAAATCTACCCAGATTTTATGGGAAAAGAGGAGTATCAATCCTACAAGTCAACTAAAATTATGGGGAGACTCTACCGGCAGATTAAGGATGAATACAGCGATGATGTGTCACCATCTTCTGAGCTCAATATTGTATCTAGCAACATCCCTTTTGATACAGATCTTGAGGTGCCAGGAGCAGCTGATTTCTTAGACGATGCCTGGGAGAAAAAATGCTCTTATGATGGGCAACTGAAAGGCCTAATGATACAGTACAAAGTGAAAAGGGAAGAGGAGGTTGTGACTGGGCAAATTTGGTCCATGCCAAAGCACAATAGCAGGAAGGAGGGGGACCTTAAGGAGAGACTTAAGCATTCCTACACTGGATTGAGAAAAGAATTTAGACAAGTTTTTGAGAAGGTAGATTCAGACTTTGAGCAACTCACTGATGATGAGAAGAACGTGTTATATGAGAAGAGGGCATCGGCATGGTACCAGATAACTTACCATCCTAAATGGGTGAAAAAATCACAGGACATGCACGATCAGTTGGAAGAGGTCAAAAATGTGGTGATGTTGAGCTTTGCATGGATCGCAGCCGATTACCTTGCTCGGATCAAGATCAGGTGTCGTGGAGTTGGAGATGCTGACTCTACTAAGCCAATCAACTCATTGGGGAAGTATCTTGCTGATCGGATATGAACTGCATTTTGAAGCCCATAAGAAAATGTCTCTGGCCATTCTCGAGTTCTTCATGGTGGCAAGGCCATTCTGCCAATTTATCTAGCGTTTGTTGTCGAGTTTTTTTCTTTTGAAATGTAGCTAAATATCCAAAAGATACAGGTGTTGCTTGAGTCATGTATTTGTTTAATTGTGATAGCATATGGCTATGAACAGTGTGATGCGTGTGCTGCAGCTCACCGGAGCTGTCGCTCAACACAAAGTGGGATCATATAGACTTTGCACTGTTGCTAGTCGCAACTTGAGTTGCTCAACAAATTATAAGCAGAGTACTTTCATGTTTTTGTGTGGTAACACTGATGCAGTGTCATCTTGTATGATATACGTGTATAGGAATTAGAAATACGTACTTCATGTGCTACATAGTTACGAGCCTTTTCCTGTCTTCCTCGGAATGGAAGTCGGCGGATTCGCAAGAAACTGGCTCCTCTATGCCGCATCTGAAAACCTGCATAAGCCTTGCTTGGATTTTCGTTTTGTTCATAAACCATAGGCATTTCCGAGGACCAAAAAGCCACCAAGAAATTTTGAATCATATTCCAGAAATGTATGCTAAATTAGCAAAAACCAGAGAAATATGATTGTAGGAGGTTGAAACAATACCCATTGGTATATGCTAGATCCTACAGTAAATTAGCACAGAAAATATAAAAGAAGTCTATGCCAAGTACTCTTACAAGACTTTTGCTAAGTTTTTTTAGTAGTACGGTGCCATTCTACAAGTCTATCATACCAGTTATAACTTCAATATTTGAAATTTGCAAGTTTAATAGAAAATTCATGAGTTATCATATTCTTTTAAAATTTATAAATATATTTTAATTTCAACATAAAATTCACGAGCTATTAAATTCATGACACAACACCGAAAAAATTTCTCTCAGCACCATAAAAATCGAAACATGACTTGAGTTCTATGAGATAAGAACTCAGAGATTTGATCGAGTAAGCTGTATGCGTACAAAGAACCAAAATATCGAGTAATAACTGATACCCGATTGTCTAATTTGGAAACTACTTTTATTACTGATAAGTGAGTTTCACTTGCTTATTAAGTATCATTTTACACTTAATATCTAGTTGGGTTTCGAGGTTTTTATTAGTTTTTGTGTGTTTTTGTGCTTTGTTTGAAAGTTAGGTGAAAATCTATGATTTGGAGGGTTTTAGACAGCTTTTGGTGGAAAAAGACATGAAACACAGTGTTTTGGTGCTGATTTTGAAGTTCCAACACATTTTGGACCAGAACCGGTAGCGTTTTGGCGCCCATGGGCAGCGCTCCAAAACTGATGTTGGCGTGCTGTTTTTGCACAGCCAGCGCCGCAACGCTAGGAGATCAACGCCACGGCACTACGACGCGAGAAAAGGATGCGTTTTGAAGGCGAATCTTGAGAAAACTTACCCATTTTTTCCCCAATGCTTCAAAACCTATAAATAGATGATTCTAGGGCAATTAAAAGGGACTTTTGACGGCAGACTTTTGGGAGAAAATTCAAGTGGAGAAAGGAGAATTGAGTACGTAGAAGAACAACAGCTAGAATCCGGAAACGGAGACGCTTCAATTCAACTCCAAACTAGTTCTTTTCTTTCCTTTCCAATGATTAAGACATTATTTAGGAATTTATTTTGTTTAGAGATGAACTAATTTATTTTTCTAGGGCTACGATGTAGCCGGATTATGAATGTTCAGATTCTCAATTTCTTTTTAAGTAAATGATGTTTAAGCTATATATGCTGAGTATTTCAATTTATTCTTAATGCTTGTGATTGTTTGGCCAACTCTTACATGATTTGTATTTGATTTGAGACTGAGAGGTGATAATTAAATAAGCTCTTAATTGAAATACCATGAGTTGTTCATAGGATAGAGATATCTATGATACTTGTGCAGTTCTTTTGAATTTCTTGCAGTTAATGATTTTCAACATGTTTAGAAGTCTGACAAAGATGTAGAGTTTGCTTGTTGGATTAAAATTATTGTTGCTTGAGAAAGAATAATAATTGCATTAGAGAAATTACTGTCAGCATAAGATTGAATGTTAATTTTTTTGAATTATGGGAATTTGAACAGGATTAATCTTGGTGAAATCAGAAACTCTAGTCTTAATCTATTGAATTTTATTTCACTGCTTGGCATTGTTTTATTTATTTAATTGTTTTAGTTTTACTTAATTTTATAAACTATCTTTTTGATTAATCAAATAAAATTTTTATTAATATAATTTCGGTAATCTATAAACAACAATTCTCATGAAATGATACTCTTATTCACTATTATATTACTTGATTGTGATAGCATATACTGTGTTACAGTTTTTCACAACAATTACCCAAAAAAAAAAAGTTTTCTAAGCAAATTTCATCGGTTGCTAAAACTTCACAAGGGCTAAAACTTGCTTTCACATTCACAAAAGGAAGTTTGCCCATTTGAAGGGATAGACATACAATAGTCACGAATCACTACCAAATTATCAGAGAAGTAACATAGATAAGTAGATCTTTGGTGGTAGGGTGGGGGCAAAAATTTTGAAAAAAAAAAAAAAAACCCAATAAATTTTATTGGACTAACAGTCCACATCAACAGCACTATCAGAGTTACAATGATATGAAGCCTATAATAAAATTGTCGTTTCTCATTGATGGCAACAGATGGTGAGTAGCTAATAACTTAGCCCTTGTATGAAATATGTAAAGCATTCATGATCAACCAACCCACTCGGGAGTTGGCCCCTTAGACTATAGATGTCAAATTTTGCCTTAATTATCTTGTTCCTACTAGCCCTTTGCATTTGCTTCCATCCAAGTCAGTCCTCAAGGACTTTATCTTCTCAACTATAAATTTTTTCTAATTACTCTTTTTTTTTTTTTTTTTTTTTTTTTTTTTTTTTTTTTTTTTTTTTTTTGGTACTCCATAACCTCCTTTTCTCTGGTCCAGCCTTTTTTATTTTCATTTTGATCTGAATTATTGGCAGCTTCATAAGTATTATATTGGTATTTGTAAATGTGCACATGCAAAATTTATATATCGAGGAATTTCTCAATTAATTAGGACATATTTAATTAATTTATCATGCAAAATTACTAATTGATCTCTTAACTAATTTTGTATTTTATATGAAAGTCACTCGAGAAACAATATCATCGAGCAACAACGCGCCAAAGAAAAGATACATATAAGCCTAGTTATAAACCAAGTTATATAAGATCCTTTTTGTTTGGATGTTGAAGCGCAAAGGTGACGTGCAAACGCAAGTGGCTTAACAAAAAGCACAATTCATTTTCCCATTTCCTCTTATGTGACACATTTCATCTTCAATATCGCACATAACATTGTCGACTATTTATTTCATGTCAAGGACACTTTTATGAATGCAACGTACGTACAACGTACGTAGCAATATAATACGTGATATTTTTGGTGTGTATTCTTGTATGCATTTCCTGCGCTCAAATTTCGTGTATAGTAGTATAAATGCAATATACAAATAATAAATGAATGTATACTTTGAATTCCTAAAGACTCCTTTTATTTTTATTTTTATTCTTTTAAAGAAAGGATTCCTAAGACTTTGCTTTATTGCTTTCTTGGTTTTCGAACATCCAACAACTAAACAATAAATACATTAAACTAATTATTTTTCCTCAAAAGAAAATGAAAAATAAAAACTCCAACGTGAGGGTAGAGAATATAATGTTTATATATACGTAATATTTAAACATATATGTTGGGTTTAATTCTTTGATTTCCAAGTGCCAGCTGACATCATCTTTTGAGTGTAAGATCCTGTATTTGCCACGTAACTTTGATAGTAAGTGGGACCCTACTCCACTATTATTTATTATTATGAGCAATATATGCTACCATAATACTCTTTTCCCAGAATAAATTTATGATAACAACAACAATATTGACGATTTAAGGTAATTCACCGACAAGAGGGTAAGAAATTCAATGCTTAAACTTCCGGATGTGGACAAATCTATTTATTTCATATACATACTTGTAAATTAGTACATACATATAATGATAGGAATATATATATATATATGTATATGTATATGTATATGTATATGTGTATATACGTATGGTGTACGCAATACTATTATGCTAGCTAGCTATACATATGTAGAAGCAATATTTTAGTTAGAAGTTAGAACTTAGATGTTTGTCATGAATAGAAGATGATCATTTTCCACAAAGATTTAAACGCTTTATCAAAGGAAGACCAAAGTTCGTTTAAATAAGGAGATCTGCAATCTACATCATGCAATTAGGTACACATCTCTCTCATTAAGAACACAAATAAACGAATTAGAAAGATGAAGGTCATGATCTTTAATTTCATTTTCCAAAAAAATTGCTGCTTCCATTAACAACATAATGATATTAGACGCAATTAAATTAATTGATTGTGACTCTACTTTTAGAAATTTTGTAAGCACCCTGCTGGGTGCCCTTTCCATATCACCCTGATTCGTGTTTTATATCCATGTAAAGACGCACTTCAGATCTAATATTGATAATGAATTCTCAAGAATATTCTAAAATTAGCAAAAGAACAAACAAAACAAAACAAAATATTAGCAAAAAAAAAAAAAAAGTAAAACTCTTTAATGCTGGTACCTAAATTGTTAATAATTGCCCTTTACCCATGTGATTAGCGATTATATATTCAAGCATGCCATTAAATTTGCCACTATAAATCTCATTTTCATAGTCTATAAATACATTTTCTCAAAGCTAAGAGATGATCAACAATATGACATGAGAATTATCACCAATAATATTGCATGATCATTTTTTTTTTTGACAAAATTCTGTTTTCAATCACTTAGTGTGAAATTTCTTGCTACTGATTACAAAATTTGTGTCCAATAATAAACATTTTAGCTACAAAATTTATTCTGCCGCCAATTTTTATTTTTTTACAAATTTACATTTGTGGCAAAAAATTTGTAACTAAAAGTACTACAATTTCTTGTAGTGAATTATAATTACTCAATCATTACAAAAAAAAAAAAAAATCATATATATACAATTTTACACCAAAATTTTTTATTAGTTGAATATTCACCTCCATTGATATATTTAACATTCTCTCTCCCTAATTCAATGCACAAATTATGCGATTGGTCCACTTGGTGGGTATGAAAATTTATATCACAATACACAACGTGGCTTACTTTCATTTGATTGAAACAAAGCATGGGGTATGGAAACTGTAGATATAATCCATTTCTATGAAACAGTCACCTGATCACCAGATAAACCAATGATTGAAGGCCTCAATTACAATTTAGACACCCCTATATTGATATTAGGGAATAGTAGAAAATAGGTCAATATGAAAAGTTTAAGAAAGTATATAGGCCAATTTTTAGTTATAGAAATTAATAGGTCATAACTTATCAAGTTATGGTTTATAATCAGATAAGTTATGGACAAACTTATCAAGTTATGATTCATAACTAGATAATTTATGGACAATAACTTGTCAAGTTATGGTTTATAACCAGACAAGTTATGGACGAAAACAGTAATTTGGCATATTTATTAACTTAAGTAAACTATTGGCCTATTAATTTTAATTCACCTCAAATCTTGGCCTATTTCCCTCTTTCTTGATATTATTCTATACATACTTGGGAAACATATCGACTATAAAAACTAGTATAAATTACACCACAATTACAAGTGATGATCAAAGAAAAAGGAAGATTACATATATACCTAGCTTACACGGCATTATATTTTTGAACTCTATAGGACTAGTTACACGAGATAAATGAAACAAGAAAAAAGAGAGGATAATTTAATTAATTAAGGCAATTATATTTATATACGTATATAATATATCACTGGGAAGGTAGCACTGTAGGAGAAGCTGAAACTGCTGGGTAATTCCAGTTAAGCAGTTCTTCTATCATTTGCATTGCAATTCTGTCCTCTTCGCTCCGCGCTGTAATATCAGTCTGATGATCATGATCAAGATCAAGTACATGATGATGATGATGATGATGATCAGCACTGTTACTAGTACTGCTACCAAATGCTGTGAAGGAGGAGCCAATTATGATATTATCCTCGTGAGAACCTTCAACAACATTCATATAATTTGTAGCACCACTAGTACTAGTAGTGGCACCACTAGGGCTAGTGCTACTAGCGATCATATTCTCGTTCTTCTTTCCGAGCTCGATCCGCATGACCCAGTCGGAGCCTGCGCGGGACCCTGCGCGCTTCTGCCACACCCCGATGTGGGAATTGTCGTTGTCGAGGCGGAGGCAGGTCAGGGAAGGAGAAGGGTCTTTGCAACACTTCCGGAGCTTAATGCTTAGCAGCTCCGAAAGCGCTTTTTGACACATGGGAGGATCGCCGTGATTATCACGATGATCACGATTATCGCGATCACGTTCACGATCCGACGGCTGCATTTTGTTGTTGTTATTGACTTTAGCTGTAGTACTAGTAGTAGCAGCCGCAGCAGGAGGAAAATTGGTCTTTGCATTTTGACCGTTCATCAGAATGGCTGCTTGGTCGTATGCCCTGGCTGCTGCCTCAGCCGTCTCAAATGTTCCCAGCCATACCCTTCTCTTCCTATAATTACAAATACCATCACCATACATATATATATATTTATAATTATTATGTATAATAAGCACAACTAATTAATAATAAATATATATAGAGGAAAAGAGAGAAGAAGATATATGGTTGTAATTAACTATATAACTGATTTTAACGTGCCTATAGCTAGCTAGTAGGCAATATCAATATGCCATTTTTCTGTGTTTCTGAGAAGCCAGTTATAGCACTGGTGGAAAGAAAAATGTGTGTGCATGAAAAAAGAAGCGTAACATTATTTTGAGCATGAACTTTTTGGGACTGTAATAATATTAGTAATGGGAGGTGGGTGAACTGTGTTATATATATGTCGCAGAGAGAGAGAGAGAGAGAGAGAGAGAGAGAGAGAGAGAGAGGGAGGGAGGGAGGGAGGTTATTACAGCAAAGGGTGGCGAATTTCTGACACCCAAGAGCCCCACTGGCGTTGCCTGACGCCTCTGAACTTCTTTGATTGTACCATTATAATATTGTGGGTGAGAGAGAAATTAGGAGAGAGAGAGATATTGACGATGATGATAAACTTATAGTCTTATACTACTAGTGTTGAGTAGTAGTTGTAGTAGAGAGGTTTTGCAGAGAGAAAGAGAGGAAGATTATATTATAAAGTGTGGTTCACGTTGTGTGTAGACCGGAAAATTTTGAGTTATAGAGACTAGAGAGAGAGGAAATAAGAGTGATTAAGTAGTGAGAGAGAGAGAGAGAGAGAGAGAGTACAATGTTTTAGTGGGTACATTTAAATGGGTTGTCGGTGGATTGGTCGGAAAGTCTTTTTTGATGAAATTAGTTTAGTGGTGCAATAAAAGTTTTCAATCGCTCAACTTGGGTGGCCCTTTAATCCTAAATGTTCAACGTGTTGTGGTGGTACGATCTTTGTGCCCACGAAGACACAAAAAGGACTCATAAAGAGGGACACGAAAAAAAAAAAAAGTTCTCAAGAAATTTTTTTTTATTTTTAAATTAGTCTATCTTCTTTTCAATCATGATAACTCATATTCAAAGAATGAGTATTGAGTTTTTCAGTACAAAAAAAGAAAAATAAATAGAAGAAGAAGAAGAAGAAGAAGAAGGTGGATCAGTGAAGGCTTTAAAGACCTATTTTAAGTGCTGATGATGTGTAAAGGTCCAAGTCCCATTTGTGGACCCTACAGTGCAAAAGTAATGCCGGCCGTCGCGCTGCTGATAGGAGAAACGCTGTTATTTACTTTTTTTCGTGACTTTATGTATTTATTATTTAACACATAAAATTTATTATTTAAATAATAATATATTATATTAATAGAATTTATGTATATAAAAAGTACAAAAGAGAATCACAAAAATAATGACTATAACATTTCTCCGTGAATATATATTTTTGCATATACGTATAAGCGTGTATTTGTTTACGTAACATTGTTAATGTTATTCCATCTTTGGTATAAAATAGTTAAATGGCACAACTGGATCAGGGACAAACATTGATCGACAACCATGTATACACCAAGACTTCATAAACAATTTTCTTTTAGAGTTCTTTTATTTATTTAGTTTTTGGTACTATAACTGGAGTTTTATTATTTGCATACCTTTAGATTAGAAAATTCCGTTTGCATAACAACAGTGTTACAGCGAGCAAATATTTTTTAGAAGAACTAATAATATAGGAGCAAAATAACAAGTGACGACAGCTTAGTTGGTTATAAGCCCCTCCATCTCAATTATAAGTTGAGAGTTCGAGATAGAATCATTCTGAGCTCCACTTAAATGTGATGGCATTTCACTCTCCCCTTGTATCAAAATAATAATAATAATAATAATAATATTATGAATAATAATAATAACAATAACAATAATAATAATAATAATAATAATAAGAATAATAATAATAATAAGAATAACAATTAGAACAATAATAATAATAACAATAAAATGATAATAATAATGATAATAATAATGATAATAATAATGATAATAATAATGATAATAATAATAATAATAATAATAATAATAATAATGTATAAGAAAAATTCAATTAATGAAAATGGAAGTTAAGAAGTAACATGAAAGCTGATTTGCAAGTCGGTCTTGATTGATACTTTTCACAAAAATTTTGATTGATACTTTTCACAAATATTAAGTGCATGCTATTTTGAAAGGATTATTATCATTAAAATTACACTAACACAATAAATTTATGAGAGTCGAGATGAAATATAGAATTCTTAAAAATATTTTAGAAATAGTAAAAATGACATAGTAATTATTTCCAATAATGTTTCATGTTGATACTACAGAACTCAGTAATCATTGGAATATGACTCAAATCCAGGGCAATGATAGTTGGGCCTAATGATAAGCGATCTTTGGGCCGTTACAATGAAGATGAAAGAGGATGACGTTACGTAATCAAAATGGTCTCCTTGGAAGTAAAGGTGGGAACTGATTCTAGCTTGAATTCTTGGATGATATATGCTTTACTTTCCTTGGCACCATCAAAACTATCCAATGGATATTTTCCTCTTCCTTTTTTCCTATATCAAACATGAATCCCAACAAACATGTACAGTAGTCGCCAAAGATCTATCCTCCAAAGGCCTCTTTCAAACGTCACCGTTTCACTCCATCAAATTCGATTGGTAACACACCCTCTATTACGGAGGAAAAAGTGTTTGGCTAGTGAAAAAAATATTATTCTCATTAATATGAATAAAAGAGTACAAGCCAATATATATGCAGAATAAAAGCGTATGTTATAAGCTTGATAAGAAGCTTATGCTACAAGATTAATAAACTTAACTAACTAAGAGCATAAGTATTCATAAAATCCTCTCTTATAATCTCAAGGATTTAGCTTCATATATATATATATATAATTATATATATTTGTGTGTGTTTTTTACTTGTTTTCTGCTTTACATAGATATTTCTTTGGCTTATCACTAGGAAAAAATGGTTGTTTTGCTTCACGGGACGCTTTTTGGTAACCATTTTCGGGATTGATAGGCTTCAAACTGGTAGCGGATTCAATACGTATCGTGGGAAGGCGTGTAGCTATATTTTGAATTACTTACTTCAAATCAATTACTTTCTTTTTTATCTCTCAGTTTTTTTTTTTCCTCGTGGAATATGCAGTTTTTGTGCTTGTTTAACATGAATTTCGAATTCTGCCTTTGTAAAATATAATATACATATGTGTAGTACTCTGGTTTTATGTGTTGTGTATCAAATTTTTGAATAAATTGACACAAAATATGACTTTCTTGAATAAATACACTAATTGAAAACAATAATTCAATTGTGACATCCTTCAGTTAGGGTCATTCACGTATTTCAAAAACATTATACGCTTAAGAGGGAAATTTTATTGCACAAATATTTTTGCTATTTGTCTCTAGTTCTGGCCACTTTTCTGAATTTAGGAATATGTAAGTCATTTGTTACGCAAAAAAAAGCCAACTCTGTTATGCTTTTCATGTCTTGATTGTGGTCTGTGTGTGTATTATAGTTACATAGATACTTATCAGGTTATACCAACAAGAGTACTAATATGATAGCAAATAAAAAAAGGAAATTTCTCTAATAGTTCATCTTACAGGTAGTCACCGTTTTTTACTCTTAAATCTGGTCAAAATTACATCAGATTAAAAAAAGTATGCAAAACAGACAGATTTTGATACAGATCTGACGACTAAAAAGTAAAAAATTACTGATAGTTCAATAGATACTATATAAAAAGGAGTTTACTAGCTATAACAATGCCTAAATGTGTACATCAAAATCCCAACAAACATGTACAGTAGTCGCTAAAGATCTATCCTCCAACGGCCTCGCTCAAAACGTCACCGTTTCACTCCATCGAATTCCATTGGTAACACACACCTCCCTTACAATCTCAAGTATTTAGCTTCATATGTGTGTGTGTGTGTGTGTGTTTTTTTTTTTACTTGTTTTCTGCTTTACACAGATATTTCTTCAGTTTATCAGTAGGAAAAAATGGCTGTTTTGCTTCACGGGACGCTTTTGGTCACCATTTTCGGAATTGATAGGCTTCAACTTGGTAGTGGATTCAATACCTGTTGTGGGAAGGTGTGTAACTCTTACTCCAAATCAATCCGTTTTTTAATATGTATATATATATATATATATATATATATCTTTTAGTTTTTTTTTTTCCCTGTGGAATATGCAGTTTTTGTGCTTGTTTAACATGAATTTAGAATTCTGCCTATGCAAAATATAAGTACATATATATAGTACTCTGGTTTCTTAGATGTGTATCAAAATTTTGAATAAATCGACACAAAATATGATTTTCTTGAATAAATACACTAATTGAAAACAATAATTAAGTTGTCACATCTTTTAGTTAGGGTCCTTCACGTATTTCAAAAAAAAGCCAACTCTGGCATGCTTACTCATGTTTTGATTGTGGTCTGTGCGTGTTGTTATAGTTATATTAATCCAATATGACTACTAATATGATAGCCAATAAAAAAGCCATCAAACTGGAAAGAGTTCACTGTCCGTAACAGTGCCTAAATGTGATAATACAACATAAATGGTGGTTATTTTGTTTTCTATTTTCTGATGTTTTTTACATGATGCTTTTTTTCCATTTCCTTCTTTTTCTCTCTTCACTTGGAATAATTCGGAACTTTTGATACACACAAGTCACCTAGGAAATTTCTTTCTGAAGTCAAGAGAACAGTACTTTTCCGTCCTAAGGTACATAATCTTAAAACTTAATATTATGAAGCACAAAAAGTAATAATAAGAAAGCACATTTTTCTCTAAAGTACTAGTCAATAATTTACATTAATAATCTTTATTTTGCATGGGAATAATAATAAAATAAAAATAAAAAACATCGTGGAGATTGTTGGATCCAAGCTCTATGCAACAGTTGATCCAGACAAGGCAAGAGTGGCACATACCAGAGTGGTGGATAAAAATCAAATTCTACATATACTGCGCTCATTTGACATCAAACGTGATATTCACAGTAAAAAATGATGAGCTAGTTGGTGCAACACTTATTGGAAGAGCTGACCTGCCTGTTGAAGCCATCATCTATGTGCAGGAGGTGGATCGACAGGTTTCGATCTTAGACGAAGGCCGAGACCCAATTGGTTCGAAAATTCGTGTTAAGGTGCAATACATCCGAGCCGCTGAAGTAATTGGTCTTTGGGAACCCAATACGAAGAGGTTCCCAGGACATTCTTTAAGCAAAGACAAGGTTGTAGAGTCACTTTGTATCAAGACGCCCATGTTCCGGCTGATTTCGAGCAACAAATATACTTATCTAGTGGTCAATTATATGAGCCTCAGAGATGTTGGGAGGACATATTTGATGATATCACCGATGCAAAGCACTTTATCTACATAACTGGGTGGTCTGTTTACACTCAAATAACTTTGATAAGGGATCCAAGGAGGAGAAAACCAGGAGATCATATCACACTTGGGGAGCTTCTGTGGAAGAAGGCTGATGAGGGTGTCACGGT